CACAAAGTTGCTCGATGCATAAGCTGCTCATCTTGACACCCCTGATCCTAAACCTCAACTTGGTGCCTCTACATAATTAACCAGGGTTTAGGGTTTGGGGTATATAAGTCTATCCAGAGGGTCCAAATACCCAATAATCAGGTACTTGGTTTTTGGGTAAAAATGCGTATAGGACAGGTTTTGGACAAGTATTTGATTACTAGGCACTTGGACCTCTAGGGCAATGAAGAAGAGGGAATCCGGATAGTTCAAGACCCTCCGAGTACCCTTAATTGGGGATATATAGGGGAATGCAAAAAGGAAATGGAAACTATTAAACCCTAAACCCTACATTATGGTGGGCTTAGGGCTTAGTGACCTTAACTGGGGATGCATGGCTCCAGTAATGGGTACGTAAGCCGTAATACAAATGATAGGGCTTTAGGGCCCAAATACCACTAATATCATAGAATTTGGGCCCTAAAACCCTACTGTTTGGGTCCTTGGACCCTTAGGGAGAGGGTAGGTGGCGGGTCTAGGTAGTAGTCCCTTCTTATCAGCATTTGCCGTTACAAGCCATGCCCAGTCCCCTACTCAAAATTACTAGCCAAGTAAGGACCGAGAGTCAGCAGCAGGGAGACAATCAGGGAGGTGACGGGGAACTCCCATTTGGGAGGCCACCTGAGTCCCAAACTGTAGAGCCCCGAAAGGGATACTCACCGCATCCGAAGGATATGTAGGCAGGTATTGAGGCGATCTTATTGCACCCAATCGCGAACAGAGGACCCTACATCAAGGGCATAAGTTTCAAGGTCTCCTATAGGTAGGATGTTGAACAACACCTGTGGAAGGAGTCCGAGTCTGTGGTGGTTCCCTTCCTGACAATCGTTGTTACACAGCAATACCCATCGCCATGTGGCGATGAGAGTTTCCGTCATTATAGCTGTGCTTGCTACAGTCATGAGAAACACGACTTTACTGTTCATAGCACTATAACTGTAACCATTACTGATGCTTGTATTCCTAGACCCTCCTAACTACCCCTAGATATTCAGGCAGATATGTGCCTGCTATTGCGGACCTGGCAAAACTTATACAAGCACAACCAAGGCTGTTGGGCTGGTCTTGGTTGCCGGCCATTCTTTCCTACGCTGTGGGGTCAGGCATTCCTAAAATCAAGCATGCACTTCCTGGACAATTTCAGGTATGTCCCTTGATCCAGCGGTATAGTACACTTTGAGAAGCTACACTGCCAAGCCAAGTCGCTGAAGTTCAGCTACCGCCCACGGTTTCGGCTGCTCCCATTGAAAGGCGTGGCGTGTCAGTGCCACTGTGGCTATGGCAACGCCCATGAAGGTGGGAACTGCAACCTGGACATTGAAGCTGAGGTTTTGGTCTTCAGGGCGTGGAGCTGAAGCATGTGGGTTTGCAGCTTTGGGTTGAGAGTGTGGGAGATTAGGGCTTGGAGTGTTGGGGCTTGGGCTTGGGGAGTGGGGTACTGAAGCCTCAGCAAAAAATATGTAGAGATTTTTTGGGGCTCCCTAAGCAGATCCCCATAGTCTCTGCTCGGACTGTTCACAGAGAGCCCAGCAATAACAGGCTTAAGCTCGATTCCGTTCAGGGTTCTTGCGATCATCATTGTAGAAATCAGTGACAGCCGTGGGGATTCACAAAAACCGCCACTTCAGCTAAGACTCGCTGCTGTACATTACCAAACCTTTGTACTATCTTCCTTGTACTAAGCCCTCCCTAACCCTGAGTCTTCAAGTGCCCACGGGGCTCAAATGGCAAACAACCACGTAGATTCTGACAGTTAAGAACTTATCAGCACTCCCTGTCTTGGGACAAAAGCCTTTTCGTTCAAGTGCAGCCCAGCAACCCAGCTCCGGGAAGAAAACCGCGGCAATCCACAAATGCCGTGGCCGCTTGTGCATCCCTTCCCCACGCGCGTGCCTATGCCTATAAAGATTCCGCCAGCGATATACCGGACCTGAAGTGGCAGGTTGTCAAGATCCTGGTCCCTTTAATTTTTGGATCCCCAGTCTTGGCCCCAATATTTAGAGTACCCCAAAAGCGATTAACATCATGACCACCCCCTCAATTGGGGCTCAAACTACGTGACTTTGTGGGCTTTGGCAAGTATACCCAAACGGTCCAAAAATGCCAACAATTCGCAAAGTACTTATTGTAGTTTGGAACTGATACAGGCCCAAAACAGAAAGCAGATTTGAAGAAAACATGAAAGCTGCGTAAAGCACAATAATCCCAATCCTGAGATAAGGCCATTTTTGGATTGTTTTCTATATCATGCATGGAGGATAGTTTACCGATGCTTCTACTCTGATCACACAAAGAAGTCTGCTTGCGCTGGACATTCGTTACTTGGTGCACCTTTGAAATAACACACGAGGCATGTCTGAGAATGTGAAGTAACATATGGGGGGTTGTCAAATGTATGGTCCCTTTATGGGTGCCCTAAATATTAGGTGCCGTATTATTATCGGGATCCCAAAAAGGGACCACAATTTTGACAAGCACCCATATGAAGCATCGCTCAGCAAAGCCCAGGGACAACGTGGAACGGCGTAGCCTGCGGAAAAGAAAAGTCATGATTCGCAAGCATGCTGATGATGCCGCCCAGGACTAAGCCGACCAGGAAAAAGATCCTGCACTGCTGTTTGCGCAAGACGTGGAGCTTAGGGTCTTTTGCTCAGTTGCCGGAACCTGCAAAGCTTTTCCACAATTCTAGATAAACTCTAGGAAAGGCATGAGTTGTTTGCCCCAATCAAGTCAAAATAACAACCACGTGAGAACCTGGCTTGTCAAGACCCAGCAGAAACTTAGGCGCCATTGACTCAAATGGCCAACTGGTTCAATGCATCAAGGTCGAACGCAGACCCGACATGCTAAACCCTAATAGGAATCCCTCCGGGTCCAAGGACCTAAATAATAGGGTTTTAGGTCCGAACTACCTTTAACCATGTACCCCTTTAAAGGAACCCTATTATTTGGGGCCTTGGACCCTTAGGGAATAGGTTCGGGTGGCCTGGCGGCCTGGAAGAGCCGGGGGTGGGTGAATGTGTTCCATGGCCAGCGAGTGCCATCCACGAAGGGTCTCAATCTCTACGTCAGCGCCATATCACACCAAACCCCATAAACCCTAAACCCTATACCCTGCCTGGACCCCCGGAGTACGTAGAATAATGGCCTCTTGTGCTAGATTAAGGGGTTTGGGCCATTATTTTCTCTACTTTTGGGGGCTTAGGTACACCCCAAGCCCGAAACCCTAAACCCCAAAACCCTAAACCCCGAAGCCCTAAACCCCAAAACGCCAAAACCCTAAACCCTACACCCCACACCCTAATTTAGCCGAGCATCTTCCAAAGCTGACCACCCTGCAGCGGCTGCTTCTGCGTGACACCCCGCAGGAAAGGTCCCAGGATGCCGGCAACCCCGGCAATCCTTACACGGTTGAGGAAGGTGGGGATTAGGGTTTAGGGTTTAGGGCTTGAGATTGAAAGTTCAAAGGCTTAAGGCTTAGGACTTATGGCCTGAATTTGGGGATTAAGGTTGAGGGTCTGCGGTTTAAGGGGTGTAGGCTTTAGGCTTAGGCTCAGAATTCAGCATAGGCGTGTATGTGCAGGAGGTAGCTGGCCGGTCTTCAAGGATGAGGATGCGTTCGAGGCTCAAATGCCCAAGTACTGTATACTTGAGCTTTTTGGCTACTTGGACGTGCAGGCGCTAGAAGTCGAGCACTGTGAGATTGAAGGCTACAACTCGTTAATGGGCTTTCGCTGCAGGGATTTGCACTGAATAGTAGTTTCCATTTTATTTTCCATTATCCCAATATAACCACAACATACTATAGTAGTTTCCATTTTATTTTCCATTATCTCAATATTTACTGTAGTCACCCAAAAAGGCCGAGAGTCTTGCCATCCACCAAATAGGAAATCGCTGCAGACAACCCAATGAGCATGCCGCCTATGGCGGACTCGAACGGCGTGAACATGGCTCTGGTCACGAGTGTCGACAGCTAAAGCTGCACCCTTGGAGCCAAGAACTACCGGCAGCCGCCTCAAAACAGCAAGTGGCGATTTCTCAAAAAACGCATGTGCGAGTAGTTGGGTCCACGTATCATTTTGGAGGTGTCTGCTTGTCAATACCTGCACGTCCATGGGTTGAGAGCTGTTCTTCACGGAATCCTTTGGGCTTCAATGGTGCTCCACTACGCAAAGAAACAAAACCCTAAGCCCAGCCTAAACCCTAAATCGTCTGAAGCACAGACAAAAGAGAACGGCGACTGCCTATGCAGACTGTTTTTTAAACGGCCGTCCAAACAAGCACAACTGCGAAGACTCTGTGTATTCAGCATAACATCTGAAAGCGCAAGGTACACACCTTTGGCATCTGCCACAAAAGCATAATAAGAACTTCTCTCTCATGGTCGTGAGGAGTAGTCCGCAAAACTCCTCCGATCTCAGATAATCTAGGTAGGCACATTACAAAACACTACTATTGAAAGGGACTATCGGATAATCTACAGCAGATGAGTCTCACGTTGACATGAAGCTGAAGGAAGCCGCCAATCCCTTGCTGCTCGAAGCTTGAACCCTGTTAGCCTGACAAACATGTGCAAAAAAAAACTGGATTTCTGCGGGCAAGTGCTGTGAGGCCTTCATCCTGCTCCGCTAGAAAGCAGCACTATGTCAATGCAGGGGGGTAAGAGAATTCAAGGTAGTCCCAGTTCAACGGTGTAGGGCTCCTAGTTTCTCGTGAGGGACCCTCCTCAATGAATTTGTCTCAGGCCAAATCGCAAGCCTTACGCCTTCAACTCGACAATCCTCAACATGTGACACCATACGCCCGTACCTAGACCTCCCGAGTAAGGAACATGATGGCCCAAAACCCTTAAATATAGCCCAGAAGACATTAAACCCTAAACCCTAACCCTGAAACCCTGAACCCTAACCCCCAAACCCTAAGCCCTAAATCCTGAACCCTAAGCATGTAGGTGCGGCCCACGCCATGATCTTCCCCGCTTTACCGTTGAGATCTGCTCTTGCTGCGAGGTCCTGCTGCGATTGAAGGTGTCTCAACCCATCTCAGGGTTTTGGGTTTGGGGCAATGTAGGGGTCATCTAGGGGCAATATGGGGATTTCCCAAAATTGGGGGTACCTTATTGGGGGTCCCCATAATAAGGATTATAGTATTTTGGGGTCCACATTGGGGTCCCCTTATTTTGGGAAACTGCCATATAGGGGTTCAGGGTTTAGGGTTTGGGGTGTCTCAATCCATGCTCTCAAGATGTTCATGCTGTAGTGGTCATTTTGGTACATTCTCGAGGGTAAATACTACATAATGCATGCAGGGTGACCCTGACAAATAAAACTCCTTGTAAAGTCTTGCAAGAAGCCCCACCCTAAACCCAACAAAGTCACTAAGGTTACAGAGAATAGCTCACGCGTTCAGATTTGGCTAAGGAATACTGGCAGCGGTAAGAAGTACGGGAAAAAGCTATAAACTATGCTGACGAGAATGCAAAACCTTAGAACCGTTGTTCCATTCTAGCTTTAATCTCTATCCTTGGAGACCGAACTCCCAAACCCTGAGGCCCTGAACTGTTACCCTGCAACTCCTAGACATCACACCTTTACACCAGCTGAAGGAGTCTTTTCTGTTTGAAAACCTCACTGCCTCAATCCTAGTCCCCAAACTCCCTGCACCCAGCCTGAAGAAGAACGCGGGACCCATCCGGGAAGCGGCCCCCGCTTTCCGGCAGCAGGTAGATGACGTTCAGCCTCATGTTTCGCATCTTACTACTGCTGCTCGTGGGGAGCCTGGTATGACGTAGGCTCTTTCCTAGGGGCTTATACACCACTTTCCTGGAAATATTTGCGTTGCGTTGCTCAAGCAACATTCTAGCTTTCTAGCCCTAAGGCTCCAAGGATTCATATTCAAATAAATCTGGGCCAAAATTCTAATGAACAAGATGTCGCATTTTGAGCCTTAGGGTACGTGCCCTGAACCAGCCAAGCCACTCTGACTGAATCGCAGCCTTCAGCAGCTCCTGCGAGGCGGGGCACGTGAACCTTGCTACGTTAAGGAGTCCAAGTACCTACCCAGTTTATACTGACTTGGTTGGCCTTTGGAACCCTTTGAAAAATGTTAGTATATAGGGTTCTTATGAAACCCATTAGGGAAAATATTTAAGTATCCCAAAGGCCAACCCAGCTGAGAGTTTTTCTTGAAAGTATTCACATAAGAGTCCATTTGGGCCGAGCTTATATACTGCAAACGAGTGTGCCCCTTTGGGCTCGTGAATTTCTGAAGGCTGTGGACAGGCTGCATGGAATATGTAGCAGATCCACAGGCTACAGCAGGACTTCAACTCAAGGTCCATATTGGCGCCTGCACGTACCCCAAACCTTAGATCCTAAATCCTAAGCCCTGAACCCCACAACCATAGCCCTTGGCATCCCAGGTCACCAGATGCTCCAAAGGCTATGATCTCTGACCAGCAAAATGCAGACCCGGCTTTCGCATCATGCTGAAGTGGGCCTGTGCAAACATCATGCGCCGTTTGAGAAGCCGCTCACCCCTCCTAACCTAAACCCGAACACTAAACTCTACACTAAATACCCTAAAACCAGACGTCGCCTTCCCTGCCAGGATGGTGTCCTTTTTCCAGCTGCGGGCGTGCATCTGTCGGCTCTACGGGGTACCCACGTCAAGGTCACCGTAAACCAACAACCCTGAGGGTTCAAGTACCCGAAACGCGTGGCTCCAGGTGCCAAACTATAAAGTGGATGAGTGGATGGTTCTGCGGTACCTACATCCGTAGTGCATTTTACCTGGACCCCAGCAGAGAAACCAAAAACAAATATGAGATTAGCATAGATATCTGCTTGTACTGAACTCTGCCATGCAGTGCTTCCAGAGAGGATTTGCTACACGTATTCTATGATCGAGGGTTGCCTCCCTGTAGTCCGAAAGAGTAATGAGCAATGAGCATAGACTCAAGGATTTTCAGAGTAAGCCAATCTTTGTGCTGCCCTGCTTGGGAGACGCCCGTAGGATCTTATAAATTTAGCTGCTCACGCATTATTCTGGCCAATACAGACTAGCGCAGCTCGACGGGCATCTCGTCCCATCAATCAAGGCATAGGCTCCACCAGGACCTGCGCTCATGTTTTCGAAGATAATGTACTTCTTCATGTTTCAACACTCTAGGGCAGACACCACAATTCATACTATGTACCATCCCTCTTTGGCCCAGTCTTGCGTATCATGCGGCGGACCGCTTTCTGCGGTAGTACTGGAATACTGACTGGCATTGTTCCGACTACAAATTGTGACTCCCAGACCCAGAAGCGGACGTAGATAAGGAAACCTCTAGAAGCATAGAGCGATCACGTCGTGGAATTAGTTGATTTCCTTCCCAAAAAATTCGAAAATCTCATGCCTACAACTAAGCCCTCAAACCCCTAGCCCCCGAACCCCCATAAGGGAATAACAATTTCCTACATAATCCCCACACGATAGATATTCCCTTATTCCCGACTAACCCCCATGGCTCAAGGAACCTCCAGGTTTGGGAGCGCAGTTTGCAGCCGCTGCCGGCATCGCTCGGCTTTCTCGCGCGCCTCGCCGAGCACCACGGCCCTTCCGATCTCGCTGATCAGGGCCTCAGCCGTAAAAAAGCACATTACTGGCCGTAAGGCTGAAAGTAAGAACCCATAGGGTTCATGTTAACAATATTTGGGTACTTAGGGGCTTTGGTAATAGTAATTCTAGTACAGGTTTGGGGTCAGTATATGATTATTGAAATACTTGGACCCTTAGGGGAAGTTGTATCAGGTATGATAATGAAAGCGATGCATCGGTAGGGGCGGAAGTTTGGGGTTGTAGGGCGAAGGGCCCTGGGCGTATGGAGCTCTAGGATGGATGAAGTTGAGCCTTTGGGGATGGGCCATGGGCACTGTCACGTCTACGACTTAGTTGCCATCCAGGGATGAACTTCTGAGAATAAAGCAGCACCATGAGCAAGAAGCCTGGACTGTTAGGTTGCCCTAGGGCTTTGAAACGTAAACATCTTCATAGCCCTGAATCTGAACCTAAGCTTAAATTTCTGATGCTCACACGCAATCTAAACTACAGTTGAATACAGAAGTCCTGGTAATGAACTCTTGGGGCATATCGACCCCCTGGGAACTGTAGAAGACTATATCCCTTACATCGTATCTAGAGCTCTCCACTATCCACCCCAAAGCCTTATTCTACCCATAGGCCCTTGACTGGGTTGCTATTAAGGAACTTAATTAAGTTACCGTATTCTGACTACATTCTGAATAACGGGGTTTCCTTGAGTTATAGTAGACAAATTTAAAATCCTTAACCGCAACCCAGTTAGGGTAAGTTCAACAGGGGCACCGATTCCACCAGTTCCCCCGCTGCTTGCCGGGCTTTCTCCTTACAGGGAAGAGGCCCTGGACTTTCTGCGGCTTGAGGTCTACTCCTGGACCCTTACATAAGGGTCACAACGGACAAAATCGTTCCTTCTTTGGGGTGGTAATTTCGCATGCTGTTGCTTCTTTGGCTTTTTAGCATGAACCAAGGTTGAGAATTATTGCCATACTGACACAGCAAAGTGTATCCTGTCATGTTTGATTCAAAGTGGAATTGAAGAGCTAGCTGGGCCAACATTTGTTGAAGCTGATTCCCTAAGGGTGCACCTACCCAATAATTCGGTACCTGGAATTTTGGTGCTAGCAACTGTAGTACAGGTGCTGGGGTAGGATATGATTATTGGGCACTTGGACGCTTAGGGGCTGCTAAGACCCGACAAATGGTTGCTAGCTTAGCTCTTCATGTTCGTGGGTCCTGTTGTCACGGCACGAAGACGGCAGGTTCTATGCCAATAGTCCCCCTTAAGTAGATAGAATCTGGCTTTGGGTATAGTATACTAACATCACCATATACCCCATGTTCTATCTACTTAAGGGGGATTGTATATGCTAAAGCGGCAAGCCCTGCCGCTCTACATCTGCAATCGGTGACCTTGACGGGACCAAGTACCCCTGAATCATATACTCCCTCAAACTTGTACTACAAGTACGAATAACTGCCAAAATCACAAGTGCCCAACTATTTGGCACGTGGACCCTGCAGGTAAGCCTTCAAATCCTACCCTCACCCTCTCAGGTGGGCCAAGCCCCTGAACCCTAAACCCTCAATCCGTCTCCTGCGTCAGCAGGTCTGGCAATGCGTCCCTCCTAGGTCACGGACTCAATGCAAAGCAGTGTCAAAGTCCCAAAATAGGTAATCTAGTGGTTTAAGTTTAGAATTACGGTTCAGATTTTGGGGCTTATGGTTTGGGGTTTATCCTAATCCCTAAACCTTAAACCCTAAACGTAACCATAAAGACAGCCCAAAGGACAAAAGAACCAGTGATCTGCTTACTGTAGCTGAGGCCTGGAGTGAATATGAGGGCGATTGTTGCTTGCAACCTCATCTTAAGCCTTATAGGGTTTAGGCTTTGTCATGCTTGCTATGTAACGGTATGTAGTATATTTTGCTTCCAGGTTTCTGAGGCGCGTCTGCGCGCCAACTATGGGCTGGTAGCCCAGTAATCCAGTTACATGAAAAGCGCCCAATGCAAAACCCTCCACACCCTGCCAAGAGCTTTCAGCTCTGAACTTCAGCTCAATGGAGACCAACCATGCGCAGCACATTAGGGTTAAAGTTCATGTTATGGGCTAAGCGCCTCCGGCATGCTAAAACAGTCACGACCATGAGTTCGAAGTAGGGCTCCTCATGCGCTGATCTAGGTTGCCTGAGATTATGTAACGGCAACGAGTCTCAGCATCCCAGCAAACTGCTCCACTGAGAACGCCCGGAGGCCAAGGCGTACCATGACCTAAGCTGGCATGAAGACCAGGACGCTGTCTTGGCGGACCCTTCTGTTTTCACGCCTCTTTCTGCAAGTCTTAGGGAATCGCACTTCTGGCTGGGAAGTTGCAAGGAGATTGATTTGGGGCTGGGGATCGACGTTTGTTGGTTGAATTGAAACTCTAGCCTCTCTCAGGGAAGACTCAGGGATTTCGGGATCGCGAGCCGTTGGCCTTCGGAAGTTCTGCGCTTGAAGACTGTTCAAGATCTGAAGTTTAATGCTGCCATGTCAGCTGCAAACGAATGGAGTGGAACATGTGCATCACACCTAGTCAAGCAGCTTCAAGCACTGCGCTTGTTTGTCATGTTCTGTCTACGTGGCATAAGAAGTGCGGAAGATTGCAAGCGAGGCGGACGCTGGATACAGAAAGTCGTCATAGCAAAGACACAGACTTCAGCAGTACAGAGACTGAGGATGCACAGTTTGAATGGCTGAGTCGCCAACACAAGAACAAGTGGGAACAAGCATGCCTTCGTTATCTTCTGCACAAGAACTGGGCGTAGATGGAATTCCTCCCCGTCGTACGTCGTAAGAAGACTCCAAGATGATACTTCCTGTCAAGGTGCCCTATCGCTTTGATGCAATACTCTGAGTTCTTAATCCTAGACCCTCCACCCAGCCTCCATGACGGCCTGAGTTGCCGCTATTAAGGGCCGTCAGTCTAATTATCCCCAATCAATGGGTACAGTCAGGTCTTGCAGTCAGACCACGGGCTTCCAGAATTGCCACCATCGCCCTTTGGAGATTGGGGCACAGATGACGACTCCCCAGACGTTTGTCCTTGCCGTTTTTGTCTTGGTGTCCTCCTGGCAAGCCATGTTCATGTTCATGTTCCCTTAGGGGCAAAATACACAGGCCCTGGCGTTTGTAGGTTCCAAACATGAGCCCCAATATTTGGGTACTTGGGCGCAAGTGCGGGTTTTTCTGCGTGAAGGTCACGTTTAGGGATGCAAGGAAATCTCCATCTGAGCTATAGTCTAAACTCCTAGTATCCCCCTTAGTAGTCCTCATAAGATGCTCTGTATATTCCCCTATATTACCACCCTTTAAGGAGTTTAGACTATAGCTCATCTGACTGAGGGAGTGAAAGCAAAAAAGGACCGGTCCCCCCTGCAACTGCTCCGAGTTCTTACCTTGCACCAGACCGGACCAATTGTACCAAGAGCCTCCTAGAACCCTTAATTGGGGGATGTATACATATATATGTATACATGTAGGGGTATTTAAGGGAACGGAAAAGAAAATGGAACCTGCTAGATTCTTAGCTGCCGAGCCTTCACCACACGTTTCAAAGCCGGCGCTGCGTTGCGACGCACTTTACTCTGACAGCGGCATGCACCTGCACGTTTGTCACAAGTACGTCTGGTTCATCCAAACAACGGAAAACGGTCACCCTCGTTCCACGCTACCAGCAGAAGAACTCGTGGCGCCAGGCCTAGTGACACAAAAGCGCACTCTGGGAAATATGTATTGGTAATAAAAATGAATGAAAGAGTACATGGACAAATGAATAATATAGGTATGTATATATCTATATATGCACATATATATATATGTATACATACAGGCACCTGAGAGTCTGAGAGGCGCTGTCAACATCAATACCTGCAAAAACTGTGCCAATTTAGTCACCTGCCCCTACCTAAGCCTGCCATGATCGCTACTACCTCTACCCTGAGGGTCCAAGTACCTGATAATCAGATGTAATCAGATACATGCCCAAAACTTGTACCGTAAACACTGATCCCCCAAACCCCGGCTATGAACTTCCACCTGCTGCAGCTGCTCCCGCGGCAGCTGCGAAGAGCCTCTGACCTTGGCAAGCATTGTTAGGAGTTACAATACAACCCCCCCCCCCCAAATGTACCCGCCAGGGTTTAAGGAGCTAATAAGGACTATATGGAGCTGGAGCTTTAAGGCCTAATAGGGTTCTTAATTTCGCGACTGGAATGCTTACTCAAGGGCTCCTATGTAGGGTGTTAGGGTTTAGGACTTATGTATGGTCTAGGGTTTAGGGAGTAGGATTTATAGGCTTGGGGCTTAGGATTTATGAGGTGGGTTTACCATCTCGAGGTTTCGTTTAAGGTTTAGGGTTTGGGGTTGAGGGATTTGGGGTTTGCTATGGTTTTTTGTAGGGGATTGCAATATACTACCCAAAAAGGAACTACATCGGAGGCTCTGGGCAAGGCCCAGCTTTTTGGTGAGCCAAATCAAAGAAAAGCTTGATGTGAAATGAGTTAATCCCTGGGGCACTAAGTCATTAGATAATGCTTACAGTGGGTCCTAAAGTCTATCAACAGTACCTACATTGAAGTTGACCTACCATGTAAAAGAGGTTGACAATAAGATCTTCCTGCCAGGCCAGAGAAAGTCCGCAAGACTACTATTGGTTTCTCGCAAATTCGGAGCCCCAAAACCTACAAACAAGTTCGACCGACAATTTTAAAGGGATGGCAATAATGAAGCCCGCTCCCGACGATATTCCGATGTTGATGGATTTCCGTCTACTTGTGCTGCTAAAGTACTACGGTTTGTACTACTCAGTTTCAGCACCCCCCTTCTGTACACCAAATACACAGAACAAGTGTCTTCGTTGAGGGGTTCTTAGTGTCAGGATAGCATCAGGCTGCTTGGAGCCTAAGGGAATTAAAGCCTAAACCCTAAACCCTATAAGCCCTAAACCCTTAACCCTAAACCCTAATCCGAGTCACAGCCGTTCCATCGATGGTTCCACGGGTCTTGCCCCTTCCTCTCTCTTGTAGGGCTGGCTAGAGACGTGTGGTCAAACACCTTAGTCGTTTAGGATTTCGGGCTTTATAGGATTCAGCGTGTTATAGGTTCAGGTTTTAGGGTTCAGGGTTTAAGGTTAAGGATTTAGGGTTTTTATAGGTTTGGGGTTTAGAGTTCATGGTTTAGGGTGTTGCTTTAAGGAATGGGATGCGTCAGTAATTCAAATTGCTTGCTATTTTGGAGGTGCGGCCCTTCAAATGGTAGTGAGCTTATGGCTTTGGTGCAGCAAAGTTTGCACAAGAACTGGGCAGGGATGACTGGCCCTGGCAACACACACGTTCTTACTAGTTTCTAGTAGAGAGCAAGGGAACATGTCATATAGAGATTATATATCTGGGACCCTGGGATTCATATATTCACTTATTCCCTACTAAGAACCAATAAGTCTCGGAAGAGCGCAGCTAAAGCTCCCTGAAAGTGTGAATGGGCATGGAGACAAACATGTCTTTCGGCAAGTGCCTCATAAGTTTCTACTTGAACAATATCGAGATGAAAGCATTCAATACAATTTCACAGCCAAGACGGATGCAAAGAAACACAAGGGTAGCAAGTGTCTTTCATCAAAAGCTCACATCAAAATCATTCAAGGAGAACATGCCTCTGAGCGTCGTAAACCACACCGAGAGGACAGAGTATTTGCTGACTTATAGAGGAACCCATTTCGCCCAATTAATCTATACTATTTGAATACTGGGACCCCGTGGGAACAGCAAAAATTGGATCCACCTGTCAAGAAGACAGGCTGCTTTGCTTGCAGGCAGCGACGCAGCACTTACTGGCGCCAAGGGCGCCAGCACAGCCCCAGGCGCGGAGCGCAGCAACATGGCCACAGGAGAGGCTGGAGTTGAATAGATGATAGTCTCCCCAAATTATTGGGTTGCTGTTAAGGAACTTAATTTAAGTTACTATATTGGGGAAACCCTATTATTTACTATATATACCCATAATGGGTAACTTAGTTTAAGTTCCTTAACAGCAACCCAGATTAGGGGACCCCAGTGTAAACCCCAATATACTATAATCCTGATATTTGCTGTGTCGTCATAAGCCTCCATCATTTCATCTGGATACAACTTTAGAAGGCGGCTTTGTTTTGCAAGCTTCCCGGGCAAGAGAAGAATCGTCCGTCAGGTTCCTGCTCGCAAAACATTTTTGTTGTTGGCCTCGTTTGGGGATGGGCAGTGCACGCCAGTTAATATAGAACAACGCTAGTGATGATGCAGGAAACTTTGCAGTACCACCAAACGCATCTCCATCGAACATCCGGTGCGATATGGTGCAAGACGTTCTTGCTCAGCGGTAGAAATGGGTTCAGTTGGTGCGGCTTTCACATTACTAGGCAGTAGACCTCCCAATGCAGCATGTTCTGCCCCCTCTTCATGTAGATTGCTTGGACCTGTTGGTCATTATCAGTAGCTTCTGAAGCTTCAAGGTTCAATGAGCTGCAAACGACAGCGGGCATCATTGGTGCTTGGGCTCCCAGAGCGCTTGGTGCACGCAATGACATAGGAGCTACAATCAATATTTCAAATGTGACTAATGGACATGGGCTCCTAATAGTAAGCTACCACCCCCATGTCCACCCAAAATGGTCCCTTGGCAGGGCTGATATTAGCAGTAGCTCAGATAGATACCTCGCAGGGGACTGAACAGTTACTAAAAAGTCAAAACATCCACATGTACACCTTACTCTCCCCAGTCCTAGAAACCCAATGAGGTGTACAGTAACACAACACTTGCTTAGTTAGTTGGGCTGGGTATGTCATTCTGCGCGGGAGTATCGCAAGCCTCTGTACTTCCTCCGTGAAGGTAGCACCGTGATTTGCCTGTTCCGCCTTTGTCTCCCTGTCTTTTCATACACTCTCCATCTCCCATCTTCAAGGTGCGTGTTACTGCTCTGTTCCCCTTCCACAGGAAAAGTGTATTACGACGCCTTGTCCCTGGGTCCGGAACTCACAATCCCAAACCCTAATCACTATCAAATCTGGCTTTGTTGCATGTTTGAAAGATGCAAAAGTATATGCTTCTACTGAGCCTGATTTGGAATGCAAGTCCTATCCCTGCCCCAAACCCGAAATACTACACCTCACCTAAGCCTGTCCTGACCGCGACGCTCGAAGATGTCCATGTACAACCTGCTTCACGCGAGGAAGGTCTAAGTTTGGAGCCATGAGCCCTGACCCGCCATGTGCTGGCTGCACCATGCTGACAGTTTTTGAATTAGCCAGTTGTGTGCACATCGACACGACAGCTTCAGTTGTTGGAATTCAGAATGTCACTGCAAGACTAGGCTCCTGTACAGCCTGACTACAAACAAAGCATCTGTAGAAAACAACCAAAACTTTGCCATACGCCTATAGCGGCAACAAGGCCTGTGCAGGTTGTCCATGAGTTTTGCAAACTCCTCCTCGTGCACCTGCCCGACGACTTCCAGAGCAAGTCAGCGTTCTTAGGTTTTGTGTGCATGTGTTCAAGGGTGCACTGGCGAAGTTCAGCATGACTCAGCCAAGTGGCCAACGATGTTCCATAAGAAATGCCACATTGTGATGCAATGGATTTCCATCTCAAGCAGCCCCATTTAGGGTTGAGGGTTTGGGGTTTAGGGCAAAATCCCGTGCCTGCTGTCTCTCTACAGCATCATCAGAGCTGAGCTGCAAAATGCGCGGCAAACTTGGTTAGAAACTCCTGATTCTGCATCCTTCCACTTTTCATTACTACAACTTTCACTCCTGCACTATAAGCAGATCCCCTTAGCACTGAGTTCAACAAACCATAAACCTGGGAACAAGCATCTCCCACTTCTAATTTCAGATGAAGGTCAATACTCATGATGCTGTCCTTACCTATGCCCCAAACCCCAAGCTTCAAACCCTACATACCCCAAGTCTCCAAATTCAAAACCCCAAACCCTAAATCCCATTCGATTCAGCCTCGCTGAATTTTCCCACGGCCATACCTTCGAAGAATAGGTTTGGCGCGTAGAGTATGGGGCTGCAGCATGAGCGAGCTAAGAATTGAGGGTGTGGCATTTGTGCTCGAGTCCCCGCTTAGGGCTGGATTTTTCACGGGGACTCCTACACCCGGAACCCGTAGGTTCTTAAGGGCAAATAATGTCACAGAGCCCTCCGGCTGCTCAATTGGCGGCCTGACTTCATGAGCTCCAGAAGCTTCACCTTAGCTCATTGTGTGATGTCTGTGTCCATGTGCAGCTGCTTTGGGGGGCCTCCCTGAAAGATATGAGCCACTGTCTAAGCTCCTAGTATCCCCCTTAATAACCCCTTAACTAGTCCCCTATACAATCCCCTATATAACCCCCTTTAAGAAATTTGGATTATGGCTGATATCAGGGTTGCCGATGATGATGACAGATTTGCCAGAACTCCTTGCAGAAGTCTGTAAGGACATGAAGCCTTCGAGAGATAAGGAGCGGTGCCTTCGGATTCCATTGACATGGGTTAAGGGGTTTAAGGGTTTTGGGGTTTTGGGTTCAGGGGTCTAGGGGTTTAGCTATGGACTAGCCGCGTCAAGCCAGCTGCTGAGCACATTTCTAAACAGTAAGAAATCCTCCAGAAAGCAAGTGCACTGCGTCGAGGGGCTTTCCGGGTTTTCCATTGAGGCAGGATTGGTGGTGTCGGTATACATAGACCCTAAGCCCTAAAACCCT